GAGAGTTAGAAGATTACTCTGGGCACAGGAAACTCCAGGTTCTCAAGCAGAATCACAGATACATTTCTTGCTCTTGGGTTCCGACTTGGTCAGAGGCTAACACAGGCAGCGCCGGCCGCGGGATGCGCTGGCCTGTGCAGCATGCCCAGCAGGAAGGGCGCCGCCCAGGCCCTCCTGTGGCTGCGCCCGTGGCTCCCCATCACATCACCCACAGGGGGGCCGCCTGCGGACGGACAAAACGAGAGCCATCCACTGCGCCTAGACACGTGGCAAATGCTAACAATCATCTTTTAATTCCTATTCAATGCGGTATGTATTCTTTGTTAGTAATAACACAATTTTTGCTATGTGCTTATACATTTGACACACACACATTTAGTAAAAAGAGTTATCAGATTCCTACTGCAGGATACCAGTTTAAAGTAACATTTACATACACAATAATAACTACATAGACAATATCATACCTATTCAAAACACATTTGTAGTCACAGGAATAGACAATACATTAATTTCACATGAGCCTAATCTATTTGAGGATCTTGGGCCTGGTCCCTACTATTGAACAGAATTTCAGAAACTGGTCTTCTGCCTAATAATATTATCCTGCATACTCAAAATGCATTAACTTATCCAAGAGCCAGAAATACAAAAAATAAATATCTATAAGACACAGACAGGCTCCTGCATCTTGAAGTGCACAGTGTAGGAAGGGACCTGCCCATAAACCATAATACCAGAGTGAAAGGCGCATCCCCATATAAGGAGATATACTGACAATGTATAAAATATGAGAAGTACAGGCCAGAAATGAAAAAAACCTATGAAACATATGCAAAATAATATTTAAATAGTCAAAAATGTGGATGGCTGAATTTTGTAACACAGTTCCATCAGTGAACCCGTGCAGTGGTTGGGTCTGCTAGAACCAATGAACTGCCTTGCATTATATTGGAGAAAGTAGACAAAAAAAAAACCAAAAACAGAGATCCTTGAGATACATTTAATTAGCAGCATAGTGGCTGCCAAAAACTAGCAATATACAAAATAGTTTTTTTAAATTAATGTAACTTGATTACACACTGACTATAGAATATTTGCTGCTTTAGTGTCATTAAAGGACTAAATTAGTATTTCTGTGGAAAACCTCAGAACTCAAGATTCTAAAACTTCACTATTTACATGTGCATTTTTATTTTCAACACCCAATAGAAAGAGTAAAATATAATTCCAGTTAAAATGAAAAGAGAAATTCTCTTTTAATATAAATAAATGTGGCTTTATTAATATTAAGGGCTTCCATGATTCTAAAATACAACTTCGTATTTTTAAAACAAATTTAGTTCTAATGCATACCTTTTGTTTGTGAAATTTTAATTATCTTTAAATTGAAAATTATTCCAATTACCAAGCTTCAAAAAAAAAAACAAAAAACACAACCTCCAAGGAATAAAAGTTACTGTTACATTCAAGCATAGAGGAATAACTCAAAAATGTCCTTTTAACCAAATCCAAATACTATGTTCAATGTGCCAAGAGAGAGGAATTTAGGCCACAAACCACCCCCTCCCCAAACTACCTTGTTATGCTTTCTATACAGTACACAATGTACCACTTAAATGTGAAAAAAAACATGAGAGGAAGTATAATTTTCTATAACTAAAGATACACCGATATATCATTACACAGTAGTTCATAAGGAAAAATCTACAAATTAAACACTATAGAATTACAGCTGATATTTTTTAAAAAATCCCTATTCTGCATTCTTTCATCAAGTAAATATTAATCCTCTATCTTTTCTAAAAATGTTTACATTACAATTTTTGATAAGAAGAAATTTTCATGTTATAAACAAAGAACACATGATATTTAAATAGCACTTACTTTAAGGAAGGAAAAATCTCACATAAACATATGTTAAGAAAGCAAAGGATTGAATAGTATGACTCTTTTATAACTCAAACAGCTGACAAAAATTGTTTCTATATTAAATGCTCTTATAATGCCACATTAATTAATTCCTTCCTAAGCCAAAGTTTGTTGATGATCAGTTTCTTTCCCTGGTAAAGCTACAATGCAAAATGCTTGACGATACGCTCCGGTAAGGTTATTTACAAACTAATGCACTGGTCTTCCTGGTGCTACCCACCCACCCGAATCGGAATGTGTTAAGTCAATGATAATTATCTTTACACAAAATACTCATCTACAATGGAAGTTATTCATTTCATTTCTCACTGCATTAGTGATTTTTGAACAAACTCCCACAATCCACCTGAGTAATGGAAACATATCTCCAACTCTGGCAAACAGAAGCAGGAAAATTACAGCCACAGCTACAGTGAAGAAGTCCTCATTTTTTATTGCATGCTTAAACTTTACTCTGCAAAACTTCTAATTCTTTGGGCAACGCATGGGAGAAGTAGTACCTACTAAGCAAGTATTAGTATTCTCTTATTATATATAAATATACAGGGAAAAAACAGAAAAAAATGTTTTGACAAAGATGGCTGAGACAAGGGCATTATTTAAGGTAGAAACGGTTTTGTTTTGAAGTTCCATTAGTTTTTCTCTTTTCAGTGATCAATATTAAACTATTTTCACCTAAAATTTTTATTTAGTTTTAAATTAAGATTAAAAGTTGGAAAAAAAAAAAAAAAAAACTCACTTTAGAGGTAATAGCAGAGTCAAGTCACTAAGTGCCCTGAATGGATTTTACTGGATTTACTTATTAAGCAAATAGAATTGAGTTTTGATCATTATTTTTTAAAGTCCTAAGATTTCCAAACATTTTCAGAATCAGCTTAAGTTTTCACATGACATTTTCATCGGAAAGATAAACCCCTACACCTCCAATTCAAGAAATATGACCCTTCTTATGATCAGTTAACAACTTAATAATAAATAGCTCCTTCTGCCATATATTCATTTCCCCAAAAAGTTACCACTTAAAGATGTACTGCATTCTTTAAACATATACTAAACAATTTTAAACCTACTTTTTTATTACAAATACCAATGCAGTTAACAAGGTGTTAAGTAGATCTGAGGATATACCATTTCAGTTCTACCTTATTTCTGGTTACCCTAAGCTTAACTATGAAGTTAACCTCTACAATAATGTTTGCATACTGAGACTTCATGCCAGATTTTCACTGCACTGAAGAGAGTTAAATGTCTTTTTCACCTCAAAAGAAATATTTCACTTCCTCTCTTCCTCTCCTGTGCATCTACCGAGCCCCATGTGCTCAGGGCCGGCCCAGGGCTCGGCCCCGCGCAAGCCCATCTCCAGCTCCGAGGGCCCTGCGGCCTGGGACCGCGTTGAAGTGCATTAAGTGAGTCTGCAATTCGTTATTAAAACAACCTCCTATCAAAATGGGTGCTGGCTCGATGCAAACTGCAAAAACACTTTAACTGTGTTCTAAATTTACAGTAGCTGCTAACATATTAACATATTTTGAGATCTCACCTCTTTCTTTTAAAAAGAAAAAAAGCAAGTACTAACCTATTTGCAGCTGGTTGAAACTAAAACTCTCAACAATATTTCTATTAGTGTTTTTAAAAGAGTTTGGTTATGTCAGTGGGGTAACATTACCCAGACTTACAACCGACTTTTGTGTTGATGTATTTAAAGGGTAGGAAAAGGTGTTCTGTATTTAAACAGTAGTAAGTAAAACAAAGCAAGGAAAGAGATTCTCCTATCTTTGACTCGCATACTAACAAAAAAAAGGAGAAGAAAGAAACAGCTCTAAGTTGGCTCTGAATTTAAGAGGATCATCCGCTGTCCGCATTCACAGCACCCCCGCTACAGCGGCAGCTTCCTTCCCGTTTTCCAATAGGTCAAAGAAAAAGAATGGCTGAGCTGAGAAATCACACTATATGGGTATTACAAAATCTCCTCGTAGGTATATTTTTTTATATGACTGTGACTCCACACTTAATACGACAATCACCTGATTGCCCCTGGTTTTAAGCTTGCCTTCCAAAACCCAGCCTCGGTGCATGTCAAAGACCACGCAAAGGACACTGTGGAAAAGCTTCGCTGCGGCCAAAACTGCACGCACGAACCTTTATAAATGAACTACTCTTAATTATGTGCAATGTAGCATTCCCCTCCCCTTGCTTCTTCCCACTGCTCCCTCTGACATCTTGAAGGCTTCTTAGCCTCTGTCGACAAGGCGAAATATTACCACACACAGTTCTGCAGTAACTCTTGCTTCTTGGGAAAGGAAAAAAACAAAAAACAAAAAAACACCCTACTAGGACTGCATCTAACACCTCTCCTTTAGCCTCCATCCCTGTGCCGACAACCAACAGAAACCAACCTGTGTGATTTGGTGCCCTCACATTTTAACACCTCCTGGGCGCACACACGCGCGCACACACGCACAGACTAAAGAGGTCATCAGCATATTCAGGGCAACATTACAAAGGAAGAAATGCTGCCTAAAAAGAGACGGGGGTCGGGGGACGGAGCCACGGCACTCCGTCATATCCCAGCTTCGGGGCATTTCTAAAAGCAGATGCAAAACTGCACCATTTTCCTCCTCCCTCGAAAACATCGCAGCCCCAGCGGCTCAAGTTCGAGCTCACGCGCTCCTCGCAGGTCACAAGCACCGAGGGACAGAGGCTCCAGGAGCAGAGCTTTCGTCCCCGCAGAGCGACACCACGGACAAGGAACAGTGTGGGAGGAAGAGCCCCAGGGAAAAGGGGGCCTCCGCTCCCCCAGCGGAACTCTCAGACCGACCGCAAACCTGCACCGCACGCAGAGGGTGACTGCTCGCAGTCTGGAGGAGTGCTCACGGCGGCACCAAGTTGGGCGCTGCGCTCGGCTGGCAGGAGGGACCCGAGGGGCGCGGGGAGGTGGCGCGCTGGGCCAGCGCGCAGGCGGCTCCCCCGCGGGCCGCGGGGCCGCGCAGCGGTGGCCCCGGGGCGCGGGGGGCCTCCAGGGGCCACGGGGACAGGGAGGCAGGCAGCGGGCGCGCCGGGGCCCTTACCAGGTTCAGCACCGTCTCCACGATGTCCCTGTTGCTGACCTCGCCGACCTGTATGAGTCCGATCAACACTGCGAATTTCATCCGGATGTTGCGGATCGGCACCGAAGGGTTGATCATCCCCGCGGGCAGCACCACCGGGCCGGAGCCGCAGCCGGAGCCCGAACCGGACGCCCCCCTCGGCTCTCCCATCCCGCCGCCCCCGCCGCCTCCGGCCCCGACGGCGAGGAGCCCCGCGGGTTGCGGCTCAAGCCCCGGGCCCGGCTTCTCGCTCGCCATGCGTCCCCTTCCCGAGGAACAGGCAGGAGCAGAGGCGCGGCGGCCGCCGGTACCGTTACACCTGCCTCGGCCCCCGCCCCCCGGCCGCCGCCGCGCAGCCCCAGCATCCACCGGCGCCAGGCGCCGGGCCCACTCGCCGCCCGCGCCTCAGCCCGCCCGGCCGCAGCCCTCCCCGACGCAGGCGGTGGGGGACTTGCAGGCGGATCCCCGGCGGAGGCGGCGCCGCGAACCGCTGCCCGGAGAGCGGCGGCGCCCGCCCAGCAGCTGAGCCGCCGCTGCCTCCTCTCGCTCCCCCTCCCGGGCGGTCCGGCCCGGCCCGCCCCTCGCCGAGATGCTGCCGCCGACCCGGACAGCCCTGGCGCGCAGGCCGCGGGCCCCGGCGCCGACCGCGGCTAGAGCCCCGGCGGTGGCCGACACTGCGGACGCTGCTCCCGCCGCCGCTGCGGGCGCCGCCGTTGTCGTGAAGCCCGACGCCGCGCTCACGCCGCCATGTTGCCGCCCCCTGCCTGCGGTAGCGGCCACTGCGCCTGCGCGGCGCCTCCGGGGGCGGGGCCCTCGTGCGCCCCCTCGCCTGCCCGGCCCTCCTTCCCTGCCCACCCAGCCGCCCCGACACCCCCGGCCCCTCCCCCAGCCCCCCCTAAGCGGACAGACAGGTGAGCAGGTGCACGGGGACCGCTGCCAGACCCTGGGGCGGGCTGGTGGCAGCGGCGGGCGGGGAGCGGGGGGCGGGGGTGGCTTCCCCACGGTTTGTCCCTCACGGGTGGCTTCTCCCTGCGGGAAGGACGCTGTGTGTGTGTCTTGCCGTCGCTGCCGTCGCCTCCTTCCGTCCACATCCCCTTGCTGGGAGGAGGCGAGCGTCTTCGTGCTCGGCGTCGCCTCCAGCAGCTGCTTCAGGCAGTGCCACGTGCGGGGGAAGGTGGGGCACTGGCGGACGACCCATTTCTGCCCCTCCGCCCCTTCCTCGCAGCCCTAGCCGCCCCTCTGGAGTTACCCAAAGGAAAAGGGGCCGGCGAAGCGGGAACGAACGCCCTGGGAGAGGAGGGTGGAGGCGGGTGACCCTGTGCCGCGGGGAGGAGGATGCAGATGAAGTGGAAGAGGCTAGCACCTGCCCGCAGGGGCTCAGCCTGTGTGAGACCTGGTCGAGCCAGGGGCCGCTCTGGACTCAGCTCCGAGCAGCGAGCAACCCTGGAGCCCACCTCCCAGCCCCGAAAGGCTGCACCCTGTGCCGCTGTGGGACAGCTTGGCGACAGCTCCGCGTCCCGCATTTTAAAAATCCCTACCGACCTCCAGGTATGATGCCAGTTAGTGATGATGCCTCCCTTGTTTTAGGCATGCACACTTAAGAGGATTTTGAAATTATCTACAAATATAGGTTATTTCCACTGCCAGCCTTGATCTGTGATGAAAGTACTTTTCTCCCCTGGTCAGGTGGCTCCGTTGGTTGGAGCGTCGTGCCCCTCTGCCCCTGCCCTTCCCCCGCGTACACGGAAAGGTCACCGGTTCGATTCCTGGTCAGGGCATATGCCTGGGTTGCAGGTTACATCCGGGTCATGGAGCCTAGAAGAGGCAACTGATCGATGTTTCAATCTCAGTCTCTCTCTCAAAAAAAAAAAAAAAAAAAAGCAATAAAAATTGTCCTCTGGTGAGGATTATAAAGAAAATAAATACATTTCTGTTTCTGCACCAATACACTTTTAGTTTAAAAAATTAAAATGTACACAGTAATCTTACTTTAGTATTGAATTCAAACTAAATAGGTATGACTGTTTTTTTCCTTGAAATGAAGGATGTAATTTTCTTTAATATCTCATGAGGTATGCCCTTTTCAATAAAGATATATTAAACGCCACTAAAAATAGTGATATCTTGAGGAATGTTGAGGTCATTTTAATTGTCAGTATACAAATCTGTCATAATTTGTTTTGTTCTTGCACATGTTAAATTGGACTGGCTAGCCAAGTTAACTCCCAGGATTTGGAAGATGGTAAAATTCTACACTACAGATCATATGTAACAAAATTCCTCAAAACCAGTGCTTAGGATTACTTTTTGGTTGTATGTCTGTCTGTTTAAATTTGCACTGGAGAGATTGAGTTGTTGAAATAGTTAAGCAACAACTTATGAAAGAAGTGGTAATTGGCACATTTATTAAAGTTAAATAGCAATTGAATTATAAAATGCTAAAATTATTGAAGCTGTGTGAAAAATTTACAAAACCAATAACTTAATAGAGTGATTTAGATATGCTGTAATTAAAAATTCTTGTGATATATATACCCACGTATAAAGCACTTGTGTGTCCCAAATTTGTACCATCAACTTTTACTAGCACTATTTTCATTTTTAAATTTAAAATGTAAATATGCAAATCCATACTGAAAGGTCATCATCATATTAACATTTTTTCACTCCATGGGGCATATACAGGGTGGGGAAAAAGTAGGTTTACAGTTGTATTTGAAACATGGCATTTATTCTCATATTATTTATTAACTATTGTATTATTTTCCATACGAACAAACTAACCTACTTTTGCCCCGCCCGCTATGACATAAGGTTCTGCCTCTTGCTATTTTTAGACCTCTTGCAGGAGTGCTTTGAGAGTGACACACCTTCAGCTTCCTATTTTCTTTCTGAAAGAATAGCGTGACATTTTATATTTTCACTTTTATTTTCTGTTTTGTTCGGTAAGCAGTGTGTGGGGGCATTCTGGTTTTCTTGTTTATTTTTCTGTCTTCTGTAGAGGGTATGTGAAGAAGGTATCAGTATTTAAAAGTAGGGGGACCCCCACCTCTGTTGTTGTACTTAATTCAGAATCAGATATTAAAAGAGGTGAGCAGTTAGAGCGCGTTCCCCAGTACCGGGCCAGCCCCTCGCAGGGAGCGTGGCAGTGTGGGCGATCACAGCTGGGAACCACACTCACTGCTTACACGCGTGCAGCCGCGCACGTTAGCGAGCTCGTCTCCTCGTTCGCTCACAGGAGTGAGCATTGCACGAAATAATTTCAATTCAGCGGCCAGCGTGCATCAAATGTGTCCTTGTACTCTTAGTGCGCAAGGACAGTGTTTGTTGAGTGACCTATAAACACATGTAAGACCAATTATAACCACATACATGTCTTTATAATTGCACAGTTATATGTTTTCAATACTATCTCCAAAGCATAAAGTTTAGGGAAAAAAGCAGGTCTGTTTCCTTTGAGCCTACAAAGCCTATTTCCCTGCAAATGTACAATTAACTTAGCATTTGCATTAACAGATTTTGAAATAAAAGATAGCTATATAATAATAGAAGCTCCATAACATGTTCAGTTCTTAACTCTCCAGATAAAAAAAATAGTTTATGTAGTGAATATTATTTTTGTGTAAGTGTTTGCTTTAATAGATGCATACCCATACCTCCAAGGTCAATTCCTCAAAGATAAGCCGATGAAACAGTTTCAAGAGATAGTGTTGCATAGTGGTTGAGAACAGGTGCTCCAGATTTACAGGGATCTGGGTTTGGATCCCAGTTCTACCACCCACTTACCTGTGTGATTGCCTGGCCACATGACTTCTCTTCAGTCTTAGTTTACCTCACCCGAAGTAGAGGTTCACAGGATTCCAGGATCTAAAGGTAGTTAACATGGTAGTGACTGTCAATAAATAACATTTCCCTTTGGCTGTGGAACAGACAACCTTATTGTTATTTTTGTGTTTTCAGCACCTACCACGCTAGGTTTGTCATTCACAGTTAAGAAATGTGTTCAAAAATGAATGAATGAAAACGGCAGTTCTCTGGGCTAAATATTCGCATTCCACTCACCTGTTATTTAAAGAAACAGGTTTCTTACTGTCCTCTAAACTTAACCTGAACAGAGTAATCCCAATTTTAGGTAGGTTCAGACCAGTAAAAAGGAGGGAAGCTCTGAACCTGAACCTCAACCTTTGGAAATACAGGTCCTGCTAATGGAACCCAAATCAAATTAGTTTGGTTTGGTTTGCTTTGGTTCAGGATTTTTCAACAGGATGATTATTGTAATATGATCCACGTTTGGCATGTAGGTTCCCAGGTGATTTTGGTTCTATTCCCCTCTCATGTTAAAATTTTTACCAACTGAAACACCAAAGACTTTGTTTTGTTGTTAATTGTTTTCTTTTGTTTCTAGACAAAACTGCTCAACAGCGGCGCCTCTGCAGCATCAGCTTTCCGTGTAGATCTTGAGATGAAAAGTGCAGAAACATACATATCTATTTTAATTTTATTTTTATTCAAATTTCTATTTAGTTTTTATTTAATTTTTAACTGCTAATAATTTCATACAAAATGGTCTTATTCCTATTATTTTCTTATTACCTGCGAATTTGAAAACAATTTTATACTTTCATCCAAATATTCGATTGAGCAGAATAAAAACATTTCTGTAGTCACTAAAAACATTCTGATTGAAATCAATTCACATTTTTCATACTGTGGGTCCCAACCCATTAGTGAGTCATTATATAGATTTAGTGGGTTGCCACCAGTATATTTTATATGAAATAGAATAGAAAAGCAGAACGGAAATATCCAAGTGCACCCGTTATTGTAATTATATAGACACATAAACAAACATACCTTTGCACATGTATGCTTACCAGGTAATGATGTAAAATGTATTTCTTACCACAAATGATAGTCAAAAAGTTTGAAAATCACTAATTTAAATTGTTTATAAGCATCTGTTTGGTATCATCCTTCAACTGTTAAAGAGCTACCACCTGATGCTAACAACTAGCCCACATTTCTCTCTAACTTGTCTGATTGGATGTCATAAGGGGCCTTGACAATTAATTGATTGGAATCTGGATACACTCCGTCTGTTTCTGAGCAAAATTAAAGTAAAAACAGAGGTGAATTATGACTTTTTCCAAGAACTGTATCACAAGCAAGCAAATGCGTTTAATCTGATAACATGATTTTCTGCTTCCTTTTTCTAATGAATGAGACATTCTATAATCTCACCTAGAGGCAATATTAAACTACTTACTGTGGGTTTTCTCGGAGAATTTATCTCCTTGTCTCTTTGGTTCTTTAATCCTTCAGCA